CCCCCCCCTTCCCACTGTGATTGGCACGTCTATAAGGGCTGTCCCAAGTCAATGGAAAGGGAAAGGGTGGGGGTTAGGGGAGGGTTGGGGGGACCCGCAAAGGACTCAGTAGAGAGTCAGACAGTGCCACTTGGCCACTTGGGGTAAAGCCAGTGCCAGCAATAACAGTTTATCATGCTCATTAATTTTGGGATTTCAAAACACAGATGAGAACTCCCGCCACCCACCCCCAAGTGCATGTCTTTCATCACTTAAAAGCAAGTTCCATTTGAAAATATCCTTTCTTTTTTTTTTTTTTCTCCTTCCTATTTTTTGTTTGTTTATACAAATCTCTGATTTGCAAGAAAAAGTGCATGGGAGGGGTTTTAGCAGTTTAATGAATTTTTAATTGAGAAAGGGTAGTTTGGTAGTCTACTTAAAAATGTTTCTGGGAAATTCACTAGAAACATTAACCAATAGGTTTTTGGTGAGCTTAGCTTCTGTATTCCTACTGCCGCCCAGAAAAGGGGCAGGGCTCTGCAGCCCCCAGGACAGATGAGCACCCCATGCCTATACCTCCCTCCCCCAGCTGAGTCCCAGGGGCATCTTGGCCCTATCTGAGACTGGGCTAGCTCTACAGGCTCAGAGAGCCTGGGGGAGGGTGCTAACCCCACCTCTAGTATTCTGGGAGTTAGGGAAAGTGAACAGACTTCCCCTTCCCATACCCCTCAGGGCGGTTTCCTGCCAGCCAGGCTTGCTCCTTCTAGAAGGGAGCAGGGACTGAGATGCACTCCGAGCTCAGAAGTAAGGGGTGTGAGACTTGCTCAGTGTTTGGCTGTTAGCACAAGGAGAGCCAGGAGAGAGTGGCTCCAGGACTTTGCGCCTCCTGCCTAGTGTGCTCGGAAGGTGGAGAGATCTTCCCACTCCGGAGGGTCTGTGAGCACCGTCTCTGCGGATGGCACCAGCTCAGTAACCGTTCCTGGTACATTTCCTTTGTGAAATCACTACCTTGGGAGCAGACCATTCTGAATACATTTGGGAAAAGGCAAGCTGTGCATTGCAAAGATTGGTGATGACAGACTGGTTTCCCATAAACCCAGGCGACCCTTCACGCATTTTTCCGGAGCGGGGGCTTGGAATGAAGTCAGTTTCCCCCCTCTGTCCCTGGAGCCTAGAGATTTGCTTTGGCCCTTTAAGGTGGAAGAGGCTAAGAGGGCACTGCCCGGAGCAGCTGTGTGTGTGTACAATCTGGGTCCTCTCAGGCTTTCTGGTCTCTTCCGTTGCACTGCGCCTTATCCCTCAGCCAGCCGGATGGCCTCCCCGCTCAGTGGATGAGTTTTGGAGTGGGCGGTATGACGTTTTGTGATTAGGGCAGCTTGTGGTGGCCAAGGTGGCAAAAGCACGGTTTTGCAGGCTCACTCCGCCTTTGGTTCACCTGGCTCTCAGCCCTGCCCTGTGGGAATGTAGGCCGGGCCCAGCAAGCCCGCTGCACCTCCTGCTTAGGAAGGGCCGGCTGCCAGTCGAAGCAGCAGCTAGTCCATAGCACAGCCTTATAACCGTGAGAAGCCAGGAAATTGTCCGCGAGCAGAGCTGGAACAGAACTTCAGTCATGGAGAACCCACAGGGCGTTGGGTTGTGCCCACAGGCCGTTCTGAGGAGGGATTCCCTCCGGGAGTGGGCAAGGGAGAAAGTTGGCTGCTGTCTTTGTAGTTCCCCTGCCCTGACCGAGTTTCCTCATTCTAGATGTATAGTGTCCGTCCCTCATGTAATAGTGGTTTCTGGCCCAAGATGGGACCGTCCTTTCAGTTGGAGACGGGCACAGAGGTAGGCCAGGTGGCACGGCCAGGAGTGCCGATGCGCAGCCGTCGGGACCACCTGTTCTTGCCCACCCCTCCCCTAGTGGGAGCCAATGGGAAGGCTGACTGATGGGCGTCTGTGGATTGACGATGGAGTAGGGACAGGTGTTCCCACCTCCCTCTGGCCAAAGATGCGGCTCTGCCCGCTGTGTGCCTGCCACCAGCCACCAGCGGTCGTACCCTTGGCTTCCCAGATGGAGAGGTGGCAGGCAAGATTTTAAAAAGAACGAAAAAAGTGAAAATGAACTGTATTGTGTTGGGGGGAGGCGGGAGGGGAGATGGGAGAATGGTTTGGATTTTGTGTGTGGGTTGTTTCTGTTTTTTTTGTTTTGTTTTTTTGTTTTTGTTTTTTTGGTAGTTGTCTGTAACTTTCCTTAAGTGCTTTTTTTTTTTTTTAATTTTTTTTTTTTTTTTTTTTTTAAAGTAAGCTGCAGGCTTTGGCTTGGAAAACCCCAGGGGGATGGGGGGCAGAAACCTGAGGCTGCTGCCCCTTTATCTGCCTTCATGGTACTGTCCCCTTCCCCCAGCTCCTCCCTGACCCCGTGAGCCAGGCCTCAGACCTCCAGCTAACCGCTTCCCATGAGCCACTATTCTGATGTCAGCCTATAACCAAAGGAGCTGGGGGTCCGGGCCTGGTGACCAACCCTTCTCAGCCCACTCAATCAGGGTGCTCCCCACCTGCAGGCAGGAGGCAACACCCTATCTGCTACCATCAGCCCCTTCCAGAGCCCACTGCCCCGCCCTGCCCTGTCCAGCCCAGCCATACCCTGCTCTGCCCCATGTGGGGATGCTCTGCTCAGGGATGGGCCGGCAGGGCTGCCCCAGCCTCCCTGGTAAGCAGAGACTCTGGAAACCTCTGGGGTCCTGTTTTCTGGCTGTGTGATCCCAGGGGTGCACATGGGCCCCTTGGGTGTCTGAACAGAAGGGCATGGGAGGAAGGGCCGCACCCCTGCAGTCCTGCTCTGCTGGTCTAGCGGGCAGCTGCCTACCCCACCCCACCCCGCACCGCGGGCTCCTGAGTCGGCAGATTAAGCATTTTATAAATTGTATTTTAAATACATGTTTTAAACTTGTCAGAGCCTTGTCCTCATTTCAGTCCCTGGCCTCCTAACCTCTTGCTGTGCCTGCCTGTTTAACTGCTGGGGGAGCTGCCCCTGCTCAGTCCCAGGGAGGAGCTCACTCTTGGTTAGAGAAAGAAGTAGGCCTGGGGTGGCATGTGGGTTGGGGGGCAAAGACCCACACACCCTTAGGTTTCAAGAGAAGGGCCCCCATGGGTCCTGGGGCTCCGTTGGTGAGAACATGGCTGAGACCCCCTCCTGCCCTTCTGCAGGGTCTGGCTGCCCCTTTCAGGGTCCAGAATCTTTCCCAGGTACTTCCCTTAGATTTACCGCTCCCCTCGAGCAAGAGGGGAGAGATGCTTCCTGTCCTCGTGGGGATCCTAGTCCAAAAGGGGAGACACTCCTCTGCGGAGAGTCCCAGCTCTGTGCTTCGAGAGTGCGTAGGAGGTCAAGACTTTGCACCCTGGGCCCCTCTAGCAGGCGCCCTAACCCTGGGCAGGGTCGTGAGGTGTGTCTCGTTTCAGGGTGTCCCAAGCCTGGGGGAAGCCAGGGCCCTGCAGGCCAAGAGCCGAGTGGAGGGGTGAAAGCCTGGGGGCCTTCCCTGGCGCCAGACGCAGAGGCCGAGGTTCTCGGTGTTTATTGGCTTACCAGGCCACAAAAGCAAAACTCAGCAGCAGTACCTGCCTGACGACCTGTCCATCTGCAGGCCTTGGACAGCAGCTGCCCCGAGTAGACTCCGTAGGTCAGTGGGTTCGAGCTGGCACAGAGCTGAGCCACTTTCGGCTCTCTGAGTTGTGTTCCCTAGGGAGAGAGGCGAGAAGGGTGGGAGGAAACGAGCCATCCCCACGTGTCCCAGGGGAGAGGAGGCCTTCCCTGGGAAGTGATGGAGCCAAGCAGTCAGGCTCGGGGGCCTGATTGCAAGTCCAGACTTCTTTCACCCCCAAAGTGCCTGGAAGGGGACTGGCGGGGGAAGCTTCCCTCCACCCAGCAGTCCCTGTTGCCTACTGCTCCTAACACGGGAGTCAGACGCAGGCAAAGGACTTGAGAGCTAAACCCCCTGTGTGGGGAAGGCAGGCGGTGCCAGCCTAAGAGAAGGACAGCATGTGCCGCTGAGTCTGGGCACAGGAAGGCGTAAGTGCTGTGACGGGCACGATCGCCGTGGCACACAGTGTTCAAACAAAGGTTCGTTTCTTACTGCTTCCGTCCTTTCCCCCTTTTCCTCCCTAGAGCAGCAGTGTCCCAGGTATCCTCTCTTGGAAGGCTGGATTCCCCTCGGGTTAGGCCAGCGCCTCATAAAGAAGGAGGTGGATGGGCCTGGGCTGGAGCCCCTGCCTTCTGGACACCCACCTGCTTCCTTGAGATCCTGACTGGAAGAAAAGGCTACGGATGTCGGGGCCCAGGCTGGTGGGGGTACACTGATCTAGCACGTAGTGGCTGCCCTGCTTCCGTCGGGCCATCTTCTTGTCCAGCTGCGGATAGAGCGGGATGCAGGGCACCTGGGCGTAGGGGCTCTGCAGATTGGCAGCTGGCAAGGGAGGAGGAGTCAGAAGAGGGGAAGGCTCCAGAGCGCACCCGACCTCCGGAGGCTGGCCCACCCAGCTGAAATCCCACCTTTGCCACATAATGAGCTGGGTGGGTTTGGGCAAATCGCTTAACCTCTCTGAGCCTCTGGGTAAGCTGGAGGTGATAGTGGTGCCCACCTCTCAGAGCTGATTAAAGGGGCAACATGCGCGGAGCACTCGGCTAAATCCTGAGCACGGTGTAAGGGCTAATAACGGCTTGCACAGAAGGACACGTCTTTGTGATGGGTCCTGGCGGTCCAGTCAGTACACCGGAGAGACTCTGGAAAGCTCCTAGCCCATCACTTGGCACACAGTAGGGATCTAATTGGTGGCACCTGCGATTATGGGGAGGCAGCCTTGCCCAGTGAAAAGGGCACAGGTTTTGGAATCAGACCTGGGTCCACACTGCCCTTTCTGACACACGCTAGTTGTGGGGCCTTGGGCAAGTTGCTTAAACTTCTGTCTCACTGTTCTCTTCTGTAAAACGGGGTGAACGTGATGGCGAGGGCTAAATTCTAGCCCCTGTACGAAGTCCCAGCATGGGGAGTGACCCCAGTGGGTGTTCAGTAAATGGTGAGCTGGGATGGCCAATCACCCTTCGTTCTCAGTTGAGGCTCTTGGGACCAACATGTGCTCAGGGTTAAGGCCTGGGGGAAGAGCGCAGGGGGCCCCTGTCAGAGAGCTAGAGGCGGAGGAGCGATTTGCAGCCCGTTGACTGCCGCCCACAGGTAGGCCCAACGTGGGCAACCATGTCACGCAGCAACGAGGTGTGGCCGCGGGGGCCCAGGGAGAGGCCAGGCGGGCAGGAATGCGGAGAACTCACCATGCCCAAGGCCCTCACCGTAGTTCTGCTGCTTCAGCCGGCTCAGGATCCTGAGGACCCTTCGTTCCGGGACTTCCAAGGTGTCTGCTTGCTGGGGGTTGCAGGGAAGCTTCTTCCGGGACCGCAGCCGGCCTATGGCCGACTCCATCTCTCGGGCCTTACAGGTGCCTTCCTTCAGCTTCTTCTGGTAATAGCTGGGGAGGCAGTGTCCGCCCCGCTCAGCCTGGCTGCGTTTAGTTCACCCTCCTCCCCACTCATTCTTTCTGAGCCCCTGGTCTGTCTGGCCAGCTCTGGGACAGGGACACAAGCCCAGGAGTTGGGAGACCTGGGTTTTAGTCCCAGCTCTGCCATTGACTTCTCATGACTGTGGGCAAGTCACTGCCTTGCTGTGGGCTCCGGTCACCCCTCAAGGGAAGTGGTTACCTCTACCCTGTCACTGCAAGTCACTTGACTTCTCTGGGCTTCAGGTTTCCCCTGGGTAAAACGGGTCAGTTTTCATGTTATAGGATTAAATAACCAGACCCATCAAGTATTCAAGAAAATCGGCCCATGGAAAGAGCTTTGGTAAATGTTACTATGATGTCTGTCGCTGGTATTTTTGCTTGGATGTACACGTGCTCTGCAAGGCGGCTGTGCAGTTAACCTGCTCATCTTCCGGATCTGAGTTTTATTTGAGTTTTATTTTCTTGACTCATTGCTACTTGCCTACCCTCTAGACCGCAGCACCTTTCATCCATTCAGTAAATATTCAGTGGGTGTTTACCGCATGCCGGCTGCTCATCTAAGTGCTTGGGGAAAGCAGCAAGAGATCTCCATACAGGCCCCTGCCTCCTTGTCTCTCTCAGCCCCTCTCTCACTCCAGCCACTGCTGCAGTGACCATTCCCACGTGGATTTTCAGCAGCTTTGCCCAGGGACAGTCTGACATGGCCTCACCTCAGAAGCCTCTTACCTGGAGCTTCTCTGACACATAAGCAACCCAGAAGTCCAGGGGAATTAAACCACTGTGGCGTCTACCCTTGACCAAAGGAGCTAGCAGCTGAGGGATACGGGTTTCTTTGTGTGCTCCGGACAGAATTCTGAGCCACCATTCAGTCTCCTCAGAAGATCCTGGGGGTGGTTGACTCACTAACACACGCTTGCATGGTTCTGTTCACATTCCTCCTGTCACTCCTCCCTGGATTCACTTTCTAAAATCAACCACCTAGGCACACACCTAGTGGGAGAGTCGGACCGTGAACAAATCAATACGATACCCCGTCAGGAGTGGTGGGTGTTCTGAGAGCGAGTAAAGCTGGGTAGTAGGGTAGTGACGAGGGTCCATTTTCGCTTGCACTGCTCGGTGCGAGTCTCAGAGGCAGTGGTGTTTGAGCAGAATGAGGGGAGGGAGAAAGTCGGATGGATATCTCTGGAGAAACAGTCTTTCAGGCAGACAGAATGGCATGTGGGAAGGCCATGAGGTGAGAAAGAGCACAGTGGGCTGTAGGAATGGCAGGGAAGCCAGAGGGGCTAGAGGCTGCTGTGTGAAAAAGAGGGGGCGACGTGTGCAGCAAGATGGCAGGGCCGGTCCACCCAGGGCTTTGAGGCAGTGGTGAGGGGTGGGCATGCTACTTGGTGTTGGGAAACCCTAAGGCTTAAGCTGCTGGTGCTGCTAGGACCTCTGCTGATCTCTGGAGCCTGGAATTTGGGGTTTTAATGAGCTTCACACACAGAACATAGAAATTGAATACCAGAGCCCTCACGTGAAAGTTGGATCTGGACCCCTCTGTAAAACGAGGATCTGAAAAGGCAACGTGTTGAGTGAAAAGATGAACCAGAAAATAACCTCACCCCACAGAGGCCAAAAGGACATGAGCAAAGTGTGTGCAACTTTCTCGGTCACAATTTTAAAGGAAATTGCTTGCTCTCCACTTCCTGTCTCCCTTTTCCAAGGACTTGAATTAAGATGTGTTGCTGGTAAATTGGCTTAGGCTTGACCTAGGGAATGGTGGAACAATAAGTTAGAAAGAAGCTATATGTTGTGCGCTGGGCAGCCTTGTCTTCCTGCCTGCTTCTCCTGGACTGTCAATATAAGAGAGAAATAAACTATCTTGTTTGAACTATAGTGCATTGGGGTCTATTCCTGAACTAACATGCCGATCTACAATCCTATACCCAGCTAAACTGCTCAGTGTGTGATTATAAACCCTTTTGCAGACACATAAAATCTCGAAAATTCTGCATCCCATGCATTCTTTTTCAAGAAGCTACTGGAGGACATACCCTTCCAAAATGAGGGCATAAACCAAAAACAGAAAAAGAATATATACACACAGAAAACAGGCAATCCAACACAGAAGAGAAGCAAAGGTAAAGGAAGATGGTGAAGGGAGATCCCACATTCGTACTGCAACTGCCATAAAGGACAAGTGTAGATTAGATCACTATAGCTTAAAAGAATAGGGCCATTTCGAGGGCTGGCATTACTGCACCAGTTATTGAATCACTGCCTTTCTAACCCAAAAAAGTTACTAGGGAAACATCTCCCATTATTATTATTTTTTTAAGTTCATTTATTTTGAGAAATAGTGCAAGAGAGTGCGCGTGGGAGAGAGGCAGAGAAAGAGGGAGAGACAGACAGAATCCCAACACAGTGCTCGAACCCATGGACTATGAGATCATGATCTGAGCCAAAATCAGACACTTAACCGATGGAGCCACCCAGATGCCCCTCCTATTATTTTTTAATCAAACCAAACAAACCAAGAAAGATTAAGCAAACCGAGAAAAAGTAAGACAATGTAATCTAACAAACAGAATTCTAATCAGAGGAAAGGAAGAATACCTAGGATGACAACAGACTCCCGGGATGACAACTCTGCAACAGGCCTGAAAAGAATCCAAAAATAAGAAGAATGGAATTATTTAGAACATGCCTCCAAGAAAATGAAATCCTAAGAAGGCACAGAAATTATTAATGAGTACAAAACAAACATCAAGGCAATTGTCAACTTCAGGAGCTAAAAAGATAAGGAAGTGAAATCATAGTATAATAAAAAAAAAACTCAGCTATTAAAAAATTGCATAACCAGGGGCGCCTGGGTGGCGCAGTCGGTTAAGCGTCCGACTTCAGCCAGGTCACGATCTCGCAGTCCGTGAGTTCGAGCCCCGCGTCGGGCTCTGGGGCTGATGGCTCAGAGCCTGGAGCCTGTTTCCGATTCTGTGTCTCCCTCTCTCTCTGCCCCTCGCCCGTTCATGCTCTGTCTCTCTCTGTCCCAAAAATAAATAAACGTTGAAAAAAAAAAAAATTAAAAAAAAAAAAAAATTGCATAACCATAATAATAGAACCCTCCCCCCAAATTACTGACTCAAAAATTATATTAGAATGGGTAGAGGAGAGTTTAGGGGATAGTCATATCAGACAGCTAAATCCATACATTAATAGGAAATCAATAGATACAAGTCTAAAAATCACTAACTAAAATATTGTATACAAGCATATTATTTAGAAGTAAGGAGAGAGTCAAAAAGTATTTGCCTTGATAAGGGAGACTTCAGGGAGTGGGAAGCATGGTGAAGAGTGGTGTGGGGAACTACAAGTGTTTATTATGAAGCTTTTTGGACTGTTTGGCTTTTTAAACAATGTACACGTTAGTTTTTAAGAATTAACTCAAAGGATAAAGAAAGTTCTGTCAGTTGAATACTGACCAAAGGAAGTTGCTATAGCCATATTAATATTTAAAAAGCTAAGCCTTAAGATAAAAAAAAAAATCACCAGAGACACAAACGATTACCATAGAATATGATAAAATGTTCAGTTCGTCAGGAAATACAAAATTCCAAACATGAAATATAAAGTAAAACCTGATAGAACTACAAGGAGAAGTAGACAATCTCGTATCACAGAAGTGATGATAGATACTCAGCGCTGCCAGTGTGTCACATCAAGGAATCCATAGACTATCTGTAGAAGAATGGATGTGGCTGTGTTCTGATAAAAGTTTAACTATAAAAACAGCGAGTTGTGTGTGACCTGCGAACAATAGTCTGACGATCTCTGTCAGCTGTAGACTTTCCCTAAAACTAAAATCCACAGGAAGAAGAGTTTAGAAGTTGAGTCTACCAAGTTAGAAGGTTTAGGTAACACCTAGGCTTTTCACAAATATGCCATAACAAAGAAAAAAAAAAAAAACCCAAGGCTACATAAATTCAGAGTGATCAGCCAGTAATTGAACTGCCTACAAAAACAAAAAATTAACACTCCTCAAGGGAAGAGGTTGGTCTCTAAACACAACAGAATCCAGTCTCTAAATCATATCATCTAAAATGTCCAGGACACAAAACAAAATTATCAGACATGCAAAGAAACAGGAAAATGTGGTCCATAGTAAGGGCCATAAAAATAAACTGATGGAAAGCAACCTTGAGGTAGCCCAGATGTTGGATTTAGTAGACGGTGGCTTTAAAGGAGCTATTAAATGGGAATGCAAGCTGGTGCAGCCACTCTGGAAAACAGTATGGAGGTGCCTCAAAAAGCTAAAAATAGAACTGCCCTATGACCCAGCAATGGCACTAGTAGGCATTTATCCATGGGATACAGGTGTGCTGTTTTGAAGGGACACATGCACCCCCACGTTTATAGCAGCACTATCAACAATATCCAAAGTATGGAAGGAGCCCAAATGTCTATCGATGGATGAATGGGTAAAGAAGGTGTGGTGTATATATATATATATATATATAT